CTGTGTCCTTCCGGTACAGGAAAGTCAACTGCCTGTACTCCCCCAAAGTTTACAAGGTTTTACTGATTTGTAATAATTTCCTTTTACTGGCTGTTTCTCAGCTTTTTAACTATCTACCTTGTTCTACAAAAAATATACACTTTGTACATAGACACAGTAATCTTAGATCAGCCACTGCCACGGGAGCCGAATCTGACTCCTGTGGAGCGTATAGTTTAAGACCCTATACGGGATGGTATAATCCGGAAGTTACTGGAGAAGGACATCAGGGAAGACATGGCTAGGAATGGATGGGATGACGGACATGGGGTACATGGGGGGAGACAGTGACCTGGTACATGGGGGGAGCACAGGCCAACGAGCTCAGGGAGGTCCAAAGGGTTGTCAGGGCACAGTTCATACTCAATAAACCGGGAAATCCATCCGGCACGAAGACAGTTAAAATCCCTGGGAAGGGGAGCCAAGACCAGGAACTAAAACCTTAATGGGACCAGGCGCTCAGAGCCCCAGACTCAGTAGGTCAGGACAGCGGGGTGAAGGACTTTGCCCTCAGGCTACTCCAGGCCTGGCGATAGGTGGGCCTTCGGACATCTGTCTTCTAATGCTGAGCCCGGAACAGCGGAGACACTAGGCTTGTAAAGCCAAAACACTAACAAGAAACACAGGGAAGTAATGAAACTGAATCAATAACAGAAATGGGTAGGAGTGCCCTATAGTGGAGGAATGTGAAACGTAACAGCTGCAGGGTAAAAGGGTAGAAATGGTGTCTTGTTGCAACCCATAGTTTAGTATATTTAACTATGTATTTAATATTTTTAACTAGTGTATGTATTTAATATAATATTAATAATAATATTAAATACATAGTTAAATATACCTATGTACCCTTGTACCCTGTGCTTGATCTAATTGGGTCAACAGCTATTACAAGGGGTCTAGTTTGTCATTAATGACATTTTTATCAAGTTTAAAATCATTCCTCCCGAGTCACATTCATAAAGTAGAGAATTAGACGAGATTGATTCAACTGAAGCTCTCACTGGAATGCAATCTAGGACAGTATTATTTCTTCTTCAAAAATGCAGAACACCAGCTCATCCATTTTAAATTTGCACACACAATTTATGCGACGCCATTGTACTGATTTTGAGTGATGATTGTATAATTCTTTTGTGTACAGATGCACACAGGTTGTAGTTGGTGTTACTTACACTTTTTAGGAGACAATTGAAATAGAATGCTTTTGGGTGTACATAACCGGTATCACGATGTTGGAAGGGCAAGCCATTGAATGACAAGGAGAGCAGTAGAGACCCTATGCGTAGCTGTAAAAGGGGCAACACGGGGGTTAGCCCAGGCTCAGGGGGTCAGACGATGTCAGTATAGAAACCTATGCCCTCAGGCCATGGACAGGAGCGACCTGGTGCTAGGCGGGTCTCAGGACATCCATATCCTCAATGCTGAGCGAGGAGCAGAGCAGACACAGGAAGTAAATAAGCTACACAACAAGACACACCGGAAAGACATGAATAATCACAGGGAACTTGGAACAGGACAGAAGTAGAGCGCCCTCTAGGTGTTCAGGGGATGACAACTGGTTTGATTTCAGATGTAAATGATGTGATTGTGCCAATCACCCCCTGATACCTTCTTTTCGGTTACAATTCCCAGGTTACTATGAATCTCAGGCATGATGTCTTTTGCTGATGGGTCTAATTGGTACCAATAAATCTATTTTGTAAGGCTGGATAAGGAGTTATCCTTTAAACACACATTATGCCTATGCATAAACTGTACTTGCATGGTCAAATTTGTTTTTTATTACATTTTCCCATGTAAGAATGTTAATAATAATTTGTATTTGTATTTTTGATGTTATTTTTGTTAGCTTACTTATACTAAGCTAGTATTTGTTTAGACTTTTACTTATTTAGCCGCCATATCACCTTGCAACTCACAACTGGAAACCCACTGAAGATGTGAGTCTGGTCAGTACCAGGATTAGGGGACCTCCTGGGAAACACTAAGGTTGCTACTGGAAGAGGTATTAGTGGGCCAGCAGGGGGCGCTCATCCCGCAGTCTGTGTGGGACCTATTACCCCAGTATTCCCCAGTATTTGGCATCCTGGCCAAATTTCCCATTGGCCTTTACCAAACAAACTCTTTCTGGGTGAGTGGTGCACATTTCTTGTGGGTGGTGCTTGTACTCTGGCGCAGCAGAGCTAGTTTCAACAGGGTGACGTCATCGCCCTCTTGCGCGTAGCAGGGACCTCAGCCGCCTTGGCTGAGGGAGGTCTCCTTTAGCTCATGCAGCTGGTTCACTGCTACGTTACTCTGGAGACCCGGGTTTGTGCCCAGGTGATGCGGGACGAACCGGCGGGGTGGAGCGGTGAAGGCACAAGCCCGAGTGGAACCGCGATAGTCACAGTAGCACCTCAGGTTCTGGGTCTCACAGTTCGAACTTCCCTCGTATTTCTTGTCCCCAACCGCTCTTCAGTCACCCACAGTCTAAATCAAAGATCGTGTTGGCTTTCCCCATGGCCCAATCGTTGTTGCTGGGAGACCTCCAGTTGCCTTCACACTGAGCCCAATCTGAGTTTGTGTATCAGCAGTAGTTTCTCTAAATGTTGTGGTTTGTCATGGCGCTTAACACTCATGAGCTGAACAGTGCCTTTGAGGCCTCAGTGGGGTGCCAGCTCAGCAAAAGATGGATTGCACTAGTAGAAAAGGTGGGGCTGGGTGATGTAGCAGTGTCTCATTAGATCACTTTGATTTACATAGTCAGCATAAGGGCAGAGACAAGGGCACATCATAAGATGTAATGACAGCATTTATTTTCAGAAAGCTGTGGTTATGATAATAACCTGGCATTTCCCTTCTTTCAAAATTTTCAATGCTGCTGGACTCTTGAGACATTATTTGTCAGGCTTTTTGTAGATTTTCCTAAACAGCACTCATTTCCAAGTGTTTTACATGTGTTTCCCTTTCAATACAATTTTGTTTTCATGCTCAGAATACAGATGGAGCTCACTGTATTGCAGACCAAAATAAAACAAAGGGCTGAAAAATCATACATTTTATACTTTACAGAAGAAATGTGTCTAGTTTATATATGTACACACAGTATATATATATAGTGTATATACAGTATATTTACTGTTTTGTATTACATAGACTACAAAATTAGATCCAGTAGACATTAAAGCTTTGTGATTTTGTGAAAAGAGTTGACTGCTTACAAAAGAAAAAAAATTGTGCAGCAATTGTGGGTGACATCAGTTTTTGTGCATCTCTAGCCTTTTTCGTGACGTTTTACGCTTTAATTGTGGCTTCAAGCGGTTGTTACTTTTGATTGGAGAAAAGCACGGGTCTGCCAAATCAGCCAATGAACACAGAGCTTGTTGTCAGAAGGTTGAGGCAATATGGCAGCCTTCTTAGTTTAGCAGGAAGAGTCTGTGAGTAAATAAACATTGACTGGAAGCGAACAGCATTTTCTATAAATTGTTTCTGGTTCTGGAACAAACTGAAATTGCACTTCAGAAAGAAAATGTCAAACGACGGTAGCAAAAAGCAATTCTGGAAGAGAAACGTCGCTAAGGTGCCTGGCAGGTTTGTGACGTGTTCTATTTACATCAGTGGGTTAAATGTTTTACTGTGCAACAGGAAAACCAGTAATTACTTTTTTATTTCTCTCAAATTCTAGAATACCTGGCCCTCGAAACAAGGAAATAACTTTATCGTGATACGTGATATTTTGACCTGAGTGCTGAAAGTACTGATCTTATAATAGTTTCATCAATCCTATAAACGTAAAAAAGTTATTAATAAATTAAAAACTGTGAGATTATTAATTATTCTCGAATGAAGTCTGGTAAACTATAAACTGGAAGATTATTCAAGTGTTGGGTACCAGCAATGCATTCTTACTCATGTCAACATCCTAATACTACGTTTTAAAATGATGGCATCAGCGTATCCTTTATCGTCTAACTAAAGTATTTCGTGGTATTAGGTTAAACGATATACATATTCGTTTAAGTATTTTCTAAGTATTATGCATGATAACGTTTACGTTTTTGAAGTTTATTAAATGTTAAATACTGCTGCTTTTTACTGTTAAGTAGTCCAACCTTTGAAAGAATAAGTTCACCGAAGTCTCCAATTTACACAACTGTTCAGCAATGACGACAACAAAAATTGAATCGGAGACTTATAGCTTTCGCTTTTATTGTGAATTGGCGGACCTTAATTTATTTTAAAAACCGTTTACTCGGATATTTAATTGTTGTATCGGGGATAATCACCAAGTAATCGAGAGAGAGACTAATCCAACAAAAAGTATTTTGCATTTTTGCCCAATAAAAATATTTTTAGTGTGAGCATTCAAATTTAGATTAAACATTTGCTTTAAAAATGTCTAAATAATTTGTAATTCAGGGGAATGATATCTTTCAAGGCACTGTACAGTAGGTTTTAAAATAGCCTACTGTATGTGAACTTCTTAGCCTTGGTATTTTGCAAACACTTCTTTGGCTTTGATGCTCTCACGGATAAGTGCCTTCTAGGTGAACCTTTTAAATATGTTCTTAAAATATTCATGAAGGACATTTGACCTCTCTGCCACACAGAACCTCTTCTTTTCCAGGTTGTGTGACTTACCTTTGTGATCTGCTATTTTCAGCGCATATCATAAATGTTCTATTAGAGACTGCAATAAAACAGATTTGTATTCACACTTCATCTTTTGGACTTTGTTTGATGCAGGTTTTGTATGATCCTATTGTGAAGTTTATATGTAAGCAAATGTGAACTTAATGTCCGAACCAATTTTTTTAAATAAAAATATACTGGAACTTAAGTCACTAGTGTTGTAGGATGCATACCAAGCTGAAAGTATAAGAATAAACATGGATGATGTGCTTTTGCAAAATCAACTTCACCTTCTGGAGCTACATATACACCTGATGATTTTGTTCAAAATCTCAACTTGTGGCAAATTAATGTTTTCTTTTCACTAAAACCTCAGCACAGACCCCAGATTCATAATGTCAGCCTTGGATGGTAGTCTTAGGGATGTTGTTTCCTCATGCTTGAGTTTTTGTGGATCATGGTTATTGCCCTTAAATGTGATTCTTCCTCCCAAACCACTTAACTCTTTCAATTAACTAATTGAAACAACCATGGAATTAGCTTTGAAACTGGGCTGTTTGAAACTATGGATTTTTCTGTAATCATCCATTTATTTTGTGAACAGCCTTATCCAATAGGTTAGGGAACCTATTGGACACAGGGTGGTTGGGGAGCCTGAGCCTATCCTGACAAGCAAGAGATGCAAGGCAGGATACACCCTGGACAGGATGCCAGTCCATCACAGGGCACACACATATGCTTATACCAGCGACAATTTTCCCGGAAGCCAATTAACCTACCAGTTTGAACTGTGGGAGGAAACTGGAGCACCCAGCAAAAAGCCACGTGAACATGCAAACAACATGGGGAGAACATGCAAACAGCACACAGACCGCACACAGACAAACAAACTCCACATAGATTGCACCCTAGATACAAAACTGAAACAAGGACCTCAGAGCTGCAAGGCAGTAATGTTAACCACTGCACCACCAAGCTACCCCTTTACGTTAGACCTTTAGAATTTATTTGGACTTTCCCAAAGATGATGTGGTACTTAGCCTTCTTTGGCAATCAAGTAGCTTCTGATTCCCAGAAGCTTTTATAAGTTTTGAGAGAATTAAATTTCTACTCTTTATATTTATCATATCTACAGGGTGTATATAGTTTTTAATTGTAAAAATCTTCTTAAGTATTACACAGTTATTGTACAGTATGTACATATTCACTATGCATTTTTGGCACATTTTAATTCATGCTTAAAGGCCTTGATGCACACATACATTGCCTTTGCTAAATCAATTTTTAATTAGGGAATGAACTTTTAAGTATTTGGATATTATTGTATGTAATTTACACTTATTGCCAGGAAATAAGACTGGAGTATTTGTGAAATTTCTATGCTGCTAGTCAAACTACTTTTTCTGCTGTGTATGTCTCATAGGTTTATTATTTTGTTTCAAGAAAACACGTTCAACTTGTTTGGTTACAAGTTGCATGGCTGGAATTTCTAACACACAACCTGTTTGAGGAATGCTTTAATATTCAGTGTGGTATGTTTAACACTGGTGATACCTGCTATGGTGTTTGTATTTTGTCCATTGTCCAAATAGTGTGGTTCTAAATTAAAGAAAGTTATTCAAGAACATAACATTAATGTCTTGACTCCATCCAAAATGATATATTTATCAAAAACACTCCAATTAACAGCAGTAAATTGCAGATAAAAAGGCATTTTATTTTTTAATTAATTCACAGTAATATCTATTAATGTGCAGTTTAACAAAAACTAATTAGTACATTTTCCTTATAGTTTTAACCTCATTGAAAGATGCATTTGGGGTTTTAAGAGAGAGCTGGACGTATTCTGTAAATTGACTTGCTCAAAAATGATTTGAGGGGAAAAAAGGTGTCAGTTTAGTAGTAGGGAATAGCTGCACTGGTATAACTTGTAACTTATTAAGGTTACAGATGTTGGTTTCATGAGCAAAGCAATTTTTTTTATAAATTCATTTGTTGGTAAAAATACAGTACTTTATAAGGAACAAGTAAAGATGTATTCCATGCTGAAAAGAGAATAAGAGAAATACAATGTTTTGGCTGTGGAGCCTTCTCTCTCTCTTTTGGGTCTCCCCCAAAAAGGCTTCACCTTTTCAGCATGGAATAAACCTTGTTCCTTAGCAGCCTACACATGCTGAAGTAGCTACCTACTTGAACTACTTCAGTAATTTATAACATGAACATGTGGAAAAGATTGCAGAAGGTATCAAAAGTATGTTATTCATCAAGTTACACTTATTCGGATGTACATGACTATTTCTTTATTATAAGTTTGAAATTATACACTTCTTACATCCAACTGTAAGCTGGTAAATTTGGGCAGTGTTTTACTTTTGGTACTTCCGTCTAAAAGGTGATAGATTTCATGTAAACAATACAGTGTTTGTAAAATGTATCTTTTGAGGCGATCCCTAAGACCAGGCATTTTGATATCCTTGTGGGTTCCATAATTTACTGCTTAGTGAATCTTGTGGGTTTAATGCAGCAGCATAGTCATGCTTTTCCCATAGTGTGGACAAGGAATCAATCTTGCTAACAATGCAGTTGATTTCTTGAATTAAACGCATTGTTGAATTTACAATCCTAAAATTATCAGTCAGGTGCCCGAAGTTTTTATTTGTTAGCAGCAGAGGACAATATGTACCAACGTAACCCATCTGGTTGAAGAGTCTAAGGAAGTAGAATGAGTGCAGAGATTTTCTAAATATAACACACAGCATCAATGTGAAATATGTTTAATATGTTGATATGGTGTCTTATGGTACTTATGTATATCTAATGAAAATGAAATAAAAGTTAAAACTCAGGTTTTATCTTGTAATTGTTTTTTTTTTAACTTGTTTTTTTTTCTAGTATACAACATGTGTATGGAGCTCAGCACCCACCTTTTGACCCTCTTCTCCATTCAAAGTAAGTGTCAAAAATGGATTCAAATAAATCTTTATCTAAAAACAGTGGCAGCTGTGAGACAGCTCCATTCATTCAGAAGTCAACATTGTGATCTTATGACACTCGATGGAAAACAAGAGCGTTTTCTATTTGCAGACTTGTTTTGTTCTGTCATCATGTTCTGTATTTTTCTAATGCACCTTACTTAAATTGATTATAGATACCGGCTTTTACCTTAGCATAATGTATGTTATTGCTTGCATGTATGTAGTGCTATTTTAAGTCATTGTTCAAATTAAAATGTTTTTAGCCTCTCATTTGGGTCAACAGATTTATTAGTTCCTTTGCATTTGCTCCTTTTTTAAGTTTGAGTGGAGGAGAATTAGCTTTCTTCAGAATCAATTGAGGCACAGTGACGTTTGATATGAAATTCACCATTGACATGAAACAAATATCACATGGCTTCATTCCACTTTATTATTAAAATAGGTATATATTTTTCTTGTGTGAAGAACCTGAACCTAAGAAATGTTGTAAATGAGAGTAGGCCATTTGTCTTATCCAGTGAATTGTTAAACACATGTTCTACTTATGTGTCTGAATAAAAAGTTCTAAAAGTGTTTGAACAATAAATTGAGATGTAAATACTTACTTGCTGTTAGTTTTAGTTGTGTTTTTTAAATACTAAGCTTATAAAGCTGAACAGAATGTTTCAAGCAGGCCAATTTAAGTAGAAACACAACAGTAAATCAAATAAAAGTCATTGTGTTTATTTTTTATTTTTTTAATCAAGAATGTTATTAATTTTATTATCTATTTTGACATATTGTAAATGCAATGTAGAAAATTAATTATCTGTGAAATCTTGTCAGGCATTATACAGTATGTTTGCCTGCTACATATACAGGTATACTGTAAGTACAAACTAGAGCAGATGTGCAGCTTTACCTGGTACTTGACAATCACTTAGGGCCTGTCGTAGAATTCCATACTGGGGGCAGGGGTGTGGGAGAAATGGACAGTTATATTACATTAGGTTTGGTTGTGCTTATGTTATGCACAGCAGGGCTCTGTCCAATTCAGTTTTGATCATGTACAAATTGTCATGCTTTTTAATAATAACATAGTGTGACCAAAGGAGTAGTGACAAACCCCACAAAAGGCCATAGTTATTGAAATTCAGTTTAATAATCCAGTAAGGCCTTTAACAACAGCTTTTCTGTAGTCCAGCACTAGAATTCTTACATATTTTATATCCAATCCAGTTCCATACTACTTGATATTTTTCATTTGCTTGTTCTCATTTCCTGCACAAAAGCTTCTGTGAAATTGTGCTTGGGAGGACTATTAGGAAATAAGTTTGATTTAATTCCAATTTGGCCCTTTTCTTAATGTATTTCTTCTACAGTATACAATAGGATACTGTTAGGTGTTAATGCACTATTTGCTTCCACATTATGAAATTGATGCTCATATTGAAAAGAAACTTGTTTCGTTTGTCTCTCCAACCCAGTCTTTTAGAAAGCAGTTGCCTGTTGTAGTCTTAGTAAAGGTCCTAATTTAATTTAACTTAAATTAATTTGGCTGAGAGAGAAGTTTTCCCTTTGTTCATTCAGAAGTCTTAAAATGTGGTTTTAATGGCTTTTTAAAAGTTATTTTATTCCTGTCTTCAAAAGGTTTTAAATAATTGTAATTTCTGCATTTGACTGTAGAATATTTTGAATTACTTTTATTGCTTATTAGCCTTATTTACTTTTGTTCAAATTAATTTTGCATTCTTATTTAACTTCCATAAAAAGTTACTATATATTTTCTTCATGGCTGTTGTGTATTGTGTGCTATTCTGTACACTTAACTTTTAATCAATAATTTGTTAACATTGTGTTGCAATGTTTTTATTTTTCTGGAGTCATTCTTAGTTTCATTTATGTGTTTACTTGTCTGATGATGTTGTCTTAAATGTATTGACTGTGTCAGGTTAAAATGTATTTTTATACATTGATAATTTATAACCTTTATAATCTAAATTAAGGTAAAATTCTACTTCTTATAAAAGACTTGAATTTTTGTTGAGATGGTCACCCAGAATCTATTGGACATCTTTTTTTCACCTCAGAAATATCGCTAGACTACGCCCTATGCTATCACTAACCATGGCTGAAAAGCTGATCAACACATTTGTGTTATCTCGAATTGACTACTGTAATGCTCTATTCACTGGGGTATCTAAATCTACTTTGAACAAACTGCAGTATGTCCACAATTCAACAGCCAGGATCCTGACCAGGTCTAGTGTAAGTGATCAAGTACCTGTCTGAACTATTATCGCCTTACTCCCCACCTCGCAACCTTCGCTCTTCTAGTTCTGGTCTCCTAACTGTCCTCCAAGCCCGTCTACATTGTATGGGTGACAGGGCCTTCTCCTGCCTCCAAGCTCTGGAACTCTCTGCCCAAGGATATCAGAGAGTCACCTTCTCTAAACCCCTTAAAATCCAGACTCAAAACCTTCTTCTTTAGGAGAGCCTCTACTTAACTGGTTCCATTCTTCACCCCTCTGCTTTTCCTAGTACCACCATCCACGGTCTCCTCTGTATATTGTAATTGTGTTTTATCTTGTGTATTCTTTTTATTTATTGTTGTTCTCATTCTGTGAAGTGCTTTGAGAAGCCACTTTTAAAGGCGCTATACAAAATAGTTTATTATTATTATTGATTTTCTAAACATAAATTCATTTAATGCTTAGAGTTACTGTGCATTTAGTCTAAATTTAAAAATAATTTATTATCACATCTAAGATTTTTTTATAAATATGATTGTTTTTAACAGAATTGCTCTGTTTTCCAGTCCTGTGTGTTACTTTTAGACGCACAGTACCACCACCTCAAGCATAAATTGTAGGTGAGGTGTCCCAGTGAAGCTACATGGGGTTTATAAAAGATATAAGAGATCTCTATTGCTTGGCAATTCAATTTTAGAAAAAAGTTATAAATCAAATACAGTAAGGCACTTATTAATTTTTTAGCACCGGCAGATGGCAAATGCCCAAAAACTGAATTTCTGGGTGGCTGTCACTGTTCTAATCCATTATCATTCAGAATCATTATAACAGTCGAGCCTCCTTCAGGAGCAGTGGACACTTTGGACTCTTTCTGTCAAATAAATTGTTTTCTGGTAAATAGGATGAACTTCATCAAAAGTTTTCTCAAGTTCTCATATTGTCAGTTTTTCAACATTTTCTCTCAGCTCTGAAGCCCTGAGGTTTCAGTTGCCTTATGGACAGTGGTGTTCACAGTTGTGATTAATTAGCTTGTTTAGTTGGCAAGATTTCAGAGAACATTACAAGCTGCTATTTCTTTTTAATGCTTTCTGCATACCTTCCATTAGTGGAATATCATAAATCTGAAGTCTCTGTTTTTCATATATATTTTATTTTAAGCACTACAAAAAACAAGCATTTTTGTCCAAACATTTTACAGCTGCCTTTAATAAAAAATGGTAATGTTTGCCCTTTGCCAATTCTTGTCTTGCCAGTACAATGTTAACATGAGGTAACTCTTAATTATTTAAACAAATGCAATTTACAGGTTTGACACAAAAATGAAAATACCTGGGTAAATGAGGGACACCAAGTACATTGAAATATAGGGCTTCCATACAAGTGTGGCTCATGTTAATTAAGCAGATAACATCTGAACTTGCTTAGAATCATGTATAAAAATTACAAGGTAAATCAGCAACTGCAGATCAATTTAAAGCAAACTGGAACAAACAGCTGGTTTCATCTAAAGAGTTCTGCTGAGAACTCCATAGAATTGGATACCACAGTTGAGTTGTTATACCTGTCAATTACGGTTGTGAGTCCAGTGGTGCAAATAGCACTGGTATTGAACTTCCAGCAGTAAAACATTCTGGTAGTTCTATAATGTTTTGGGGCACATTTTTCTGGCATGGTTTTGGATCCATTCATTCTCTAAGTAGGCAAGGTCTATACTAATCACTGTGTAACAATACGGAGCAATTATCTTCACCACATGTTGCATGTTGTCCTATTAAGTGACTTCACATTGGTGTCAACTACCTGTATATGTGATGGAGTTTAGAAAGAACAATTAGAACATTTCCCACTGTTTTCAGTGATTAAACCACAAGATTTACAAGTGTGTAAGTCTTCAGGTTGTCAGGGTGAAATTTGTTCTTCTTTCTCTTTTACTAATGTGCTGTACTACAGAAAGATACATTTCAGCTCTTCCCCCTCATCACTGAACAATCTAATACCAAGTGATTTTCTTGTTTTTTTTTTCAGTTTAATCAAACATGGCAACAAAACGCAGACAACACCAGTGAAACCAAAGAAAGCAACAACTTTTCAGGAGTTTGAAAGTATTACCAGTGATGCATGGGATGTTGGAGATGATGATGATGAACTTCTGGCCATGGCTGCTCAGAACTTGAATATAGAAGTTGTCATGGAAACTGCCAATAAAGTTATTGAGAACCACAGCAAATTACAAGAACAGCAAAAACAGCAAGAAGATACTTCTGAGAAATGTGAGGAAGAGGAGGAAGGAGAAGAAACTGCACCAGAGCTTTCTTTTCAGTTGGAACCTGGTCATTACAGTGATAACAGAATGGTGAAGTCACTTAGTGAAGCCCACATTGTAGCGTCAAAAGGTTTGTACCATTCTTTCAAAACACTATAATTTAAACCAAGTAATTTGTCATTAGTGTTAATACAAGTAAGTCCTTATTTCCATGTAAGAGACATAAAGAACAAGTGATATTTTTAGTACTTGTTTCTGCTACTGTAGTGTAATGAACAATCTCTGGATATCAACTGTTTACCTTAACAAAGGTGAAGTTGATGATGGTAAGCTGAAGAATGCCTCTATAGAAAACATTATTGACAGGTGTACTTTAGTGCAGAATAAAACCAAGAAGCCAACATCATGTTTGGGGGGTTGCAGAGTGCTTAAGAACTTCAGTAACAAGTTGAGGTATTTACTGAGACCAAGGTGTTTGGTATAATGTTGGTAAGTGGCGTATTATACCAGCTGAAAATGTAGAAGAACATTAATCAGAGACTGTTAGTATCAGCCATTGCCCTCTATTCAGTCAAGCTGTTTTTTTCATGGCACAATGAAATTTGAAACATTTACAAGTCATTACTCTGGATCTTAGCAAATTCAACTTTTTGTCATAAAGCTTAAAAACATAAGTTCTACAAAGCACGAACTGACAGTTTACAGGTGTGTTCTTGAAAAATGCAGTGCAGAAGAAAAGTGCATAAATTAAGAACTAAATTGTCTTAAAAATGTATGAAAATAGGGAGAATGAGTTCTGGGCCCCGATCTCAATCCTTGGGTTGAACACCCATTTGGCCACAAATGGTGTCTGGAATAACAAGGAGATAAAGATTGGTCAGCCTCCTGTGTGGGACCTAAGCATTACAACATTCTACCAAGTTGCCAGTTTCTGGCTGTTCGAAAGCATAGTTTATATTCTTGAGGTGCATTAAAGCGAAAATTAATAAAAGATAATTGTGAACATGGCAACATTACTGTGGTAAAGTTAAAATAGAACAGTTGTTGATCATTGAGGAGGTTATCACCTAACATTCCATTAACATCTGCAATTAGCATTTAAGCAATTTACTTTAGCTCAGCAAGCATTTAAAATCTTGTAAAGATGTTAAGGATGTTCTTCAGTAAACAAATGTGCTGGAAGACATGTATGTTAATGTCAACATCGTCTGAAATCTACAGATGCTCAGATTCTATCAACTGTCAAAAATGTCTCTGATTAGGAGCTTTAGTGTGTAGTGTTAATCAAAATTGCTTTTTGATAGTTTTACATTTACAGAATTTTATCAGAGATTTGATAAAATAGTGACACTGTTTACAGACAGTCACTTGGCTGGATTGTGTATATATTCACCCAAAGCATTTCCTTGTGAAAAATATATTTTTATGGAAGATGAGAGATCACCGTAAAGCAGATTTGAAAAAATATTTGCCAGCGCTGGGAGAATACAATGTTATTATTTTATTCCGTGGGTAGAGTGCTAAACATGATTTTACTGAAACATTAAGATATGTGGTCCAATAAATATGTTCTTGTCAATGCCATTCTATACTGTGACTCTATACTTTGTCAATGCCATTCTATACTGTCACAGGGATATTGATACTGTATTGCGTGTTGGTAAGATTATTGTGTTGGTGGTGAAGTGATTAGCATTCATAGTTCTTGGATTCAGTTACAGATTTGGGATAATTTTGTGGAGTTAGCTTGTCCCCCCTGCGCTCTTGTGGGTTTTCAGCCAGTGTTCGGGCTTCCTCCCAACTTCCAAAAGCGTATTAGATTAGTTAATAACTTCTTCTAAGTTGTCAGTATGTGCTTTTTCCTATCCTATGAGGGACTGGGGCCCTGCCCTGTCCTAATTTGTCCCCTATGCTCCCAGGACAGACTGAGTTGAAATAAATAATCTTTCATGCAGATGACTGGCTAGCACCTGTAATATGTTATGAGTTTTGATTATTTTTTAATGTTACCAGTGCAGTACTTCGGTGAAGGAACCAGACAGTGCAAATATCACACTGCCATTGAGTTTGGAATGGTGTATGTGATTTATTGCAAAAGTCACTGTAATGTCATCAAACTACTTTTTTTGAAATTGTAAATCACCGATATATATGGGTTATTACAGGTATATGTATTTTGACCTTTTTTGTTAGCTTACATTTTTCCCCAAATTGTTGTTTATTGGATTGTTTAAAATAAACTTTTGTTAACCATGTAAGTGATATGTTAACATGCTTCTGGCTTTTACTTGCTATGCTTTAAAGAAAACTAATTCAAGCAGTTGTGGGTGATTTTGTTTGTCCAGTGTTAAGATATTCATTTATTGTTTGAATCATCTATACACAGAGACTCTCAAAGGGCGTTGTAGTTGTGCAGACAGAGTGGAACATGTTACTAATATCAAGGCAAACCCTGTAGGTGTTTCAAAAAGATGTATGTCAGTGAAATATGCGTGCTGAGAGTAGGAAATGAGACATCAGTTATAATTAATAATTAATAATAATTGCTTACACTTATATAGCGCTTTTCTGGACATTCCACTCAAAGCGCTTTACAGGTAATGGGGACTCCCCTCCACCACCACCAATGTGCAGCATCCACCTGGATAATGCGATGGCAGCCATAGTGCGCCAGAACGCTCACCACACATCAGCTATCAGCGGGGAGGAGAGCAGAGTGATGTAGCCAATTCATATAGGGGATTATTAGGAGGCCATGATTGGTAAGGGCCAATTGGAAATTTGGCCAGGACGCCGGGGTTACACCCCTACTCTTTTCGAGAAACGCCCAGGGATTTTTAATGACCACAGAGAGTCAGGACCTCTGTTTTACGTCTCATCCGAAGGACGGTGCCTGTTTTACAGTATAGTGTCCCCGCCACTATACTGGGGCATTAGGACCCACATTGACCGCAGGGTGAGCGCCCCCTGCTGGCCACTATCACCGGGGTTATCACCAGGGTTCTTGGGGTTGCGGGGCAGACAGTGATAGAATAGATTAAAATGGGAGGCTGAAGAAGTAATATGAATTTGGTTGTATTTTGAAATACAAGCATATATAAATAGCGATGAAGCATATATAAATGGCGATGGTTAATCTCCAAAATAAGGGATTTTAAGATAGAAAAAGATCTCTTCTGAGCAGCATCAGTGAATAAAACAGTTGGGGAAGACTAAAAAAAGAGGTCCTAGTAATGATCCTAGTAGACACACAGTGCAACATAGCAAGGAGGAGGTAGGAAAAAATAGAGGGAAGCATCAGGGTTACAAGAGGAGTGAAGGAGGCATTGGAAGAAAATTGTCTAGAAGAGGTGGCCTCAAATGGGAAAGTGGGGTGCAGCAAACGGTAGACATTGTTTTCTTCTACCTCATTTCAACAGAACATGGTTTAGTGGGTTCTGTGTGTGGTGTGGGACAGACTGAGGGTGAATGGATTGAGCAGAACTGCAGATGAGGACAGAAAGTGCTGAAAGATGCCTTATGCAAATAGAGTTACATTTATAGAGGCAATTCAAACAGAAGAACTTATCGATAATGCTAAAAGGGAAAAAATGAGTTGGAGCTAGAAATAGCTTTAACAAGTTAGTGATGTCTGGATTTTTTAATTACTCACCTATTTAAAAATATATATGGAAGTACAGAATAAACCAGTTATTGTCCTCATTTAGTAATGCTAATTGAGGCAACATTTCCTGTTTTCATTCATGAATTTCCTGTTCATCATTAACTTGCAGTTCACCCCCCTTCTCCATAAAACTCTGGATGGACATGAGCAAAATGTTGGACTGGAGATTACATATCGAATGAATTCAGAGCAGGCAGTATGAAAAAGAGAACTTATTTATTTAATGATGTACTGCATACAAAGATTAAAACATTAAAAACACATTGTAACTCTTGACCATAGAACAATATATCACTGTCCTCTTTAAAGATAATGCAGTTTCCCAGTATGGTACTGTAGTGACATGTGATGTTTCTTAAAACAGATGTTGAGTTAAATTGTTCTTTTTGTTTCTTCAATTCTGCCCTAATTCAGATATTAAACTGTTCTGTCTTGGGTGTGATCTTCCTAAAAATATTTGTGACTTCACAAATGACTAGTGTTGTGTTATGCGTCAGTCGCATTTAGCCAAAAAGAAACTCTGTACTGACAATCACCAGACAACAAAAACCTATTATCTATCTTATTTTCCAGTTACTTTTCTGATTTTCTTTCCAAATACCTTTGGATTCCATGTGCTAAACCGAAATGTATGAATCTGAGATACAGCTCCATCTGCTTTATGGGATAATAACTAACAACAAGACTTTCATTAAAGGGTTGAAGGAGATTCTGTTAAATGGATAGAATTTAGCAGCTGTGCTCAGATGCCACAACATTTCATCTGGCTTGATATAATTTAATTTTAACTCTATAACTGGCATTATTAGAGTAGAGTGAACAAGAGCATAGTAATGTTCAGTGCATTAATGTGATTAATTCAGGGCATTAAAGTATTCCTCAATATTCGGTTAGGTGACTATTTTTTTTTCTCCCTTGTAGAGGGTGTTTTTGAAAGAGCAACTCTTCAGAGGCAGCAGTCTCTTCCACATCGGCGTGTCATTCCTTTGGTAGCACGGATGGCAGACCAGAACACATCTGGAACACCAGCAATGACAGAAAGAGAAGCTTCACGGTTGGACAAATTTAAACAGCTGCTAGCAGGCCCAAATACTGATCTTGGTATGTTTGCTTGGTTTTCTGGTATTTACGTAAGAAACATCTTATTATGTTCTGTGCTAATGTTATGATAACTGAAATTTGGTTCAATGAGCCGTAATTCAAAAATACTGTACAGGTAGTATGGTCTTGTCTGTTTTAATAATAATAATAATAACAACACTTGCAGTGAATCTCAATGTGCTTCACAGAACTTAACAACTATTATGAAGGAAGAAGGTACGAAATTAGTTTGTAGTACTGGAAATTGATAAGTTTGTTGGTAGAGAAGGTTTTCAGATCTCTTTTGAAGGTCTCAGTTGAAGCTGCTCAAAGGTAAACGGGACCTTTGCCTTTTAGAGCCTTAAAAAACAAAAGTAATATGGAGCCAATGGAGTTTTGCTACAATAGGGGTGATGTGATCTTACTTCCTTGCACTGCTGAGAACCCTTGCAGCACTGTTCTGAAGAAGTTGAAATTTAATTAACAAACTTGAGGGCAGATCACAAAGGAGAGCATAACAATAGTCCAGGCAAGATAAAATGATGGTATGAATTAATTTTTTAGCAAAATTGAGAAAAGACCTTAGCTGGGAGATATTATGATAGGAAAGGTTTCTGTGCAGGCCAAAGTGGAAGACAAGAATATATCAAACTATTAAATTTAAGATGACAAACACTTCTCACTTGAGTCTTTGGTGATCAGTTTTTATATATAAAGAGTTCTGCTGATCCTAATGGTAAGGTTATATGAACTGATTTATGGGACTTGGTTAAATAAGAGGATTTAAAGGAGATCTCCTTTAGATGATGTATTATAATTTGACCAGTTTTGGATGACTAAAATCATGGAATCAACATTGTTTCTTTTTTTTTCATAATTTATCTCTACATGGGGAATGTGGAATACATATTTGAATCCTTTAGAGAAGGAATTACATATGTGCATTCCAAAATGTTTTAAACTACTCCATTTTAAATTTTTAGTTCTTTATTGTTCCCAGGTTTCATGAAATCTCTCAATATTCAGTTTTGATTCCATGACATTAAATATTGTATGCAAATACTGCCACTAAGGACATTGTTAGAATTCAAATTTAAAAAGTTAGAATGTGTCAAAGCGACTCAGAATGTATACGTATGATTCTTTATCTGAATGATTGATTTATTTTAAATTAATAGGAAGTGGAAGAGCTAAATGTTTATTTTGGGACTTCTATTTAAATGACCAAGATAACCTCAGAGAATTCTGCTTGAGTGCTTATGGTAATGAGAGAGGTACAGTATGAAGTTATGGTTTGAATTACTATCAAAGTCCAAGTTCCCTAAAAACCACAGAATAGTAAGCTCTGTGTAACTCATGCCTTAAGTTCTGTGTCTGCCTGTCTCCCTCTCTCCCTTGTGGTCTCTCTGATTTTTTTCTTGTTTTGTTCTCTATCTTTTATCTTACACTTTTGACACTTTTGACCTCTCTGCCTGTAATGATATATTTGATCAAATTAAAACAACTATATAGTTTGTGTTCAGTCCAGTGATTTTGAACTGATCGTAAGTATTGGGAAACATTCACTTTAAGTAAATTTCAGTGTGAGAGTTAGTAATTAGTTGCATATCCCTTTGAGGCAGTAAATGCACCCAGTGAACTCACCAACTCAGAGTGGCTGCAACAAAGGCTTGACAAAGCATCTCAAATGATTCGACACATAATTTTGTGAGTTCAGTGGGTTGCAGACTTTCTGCATTTATTACCTCAAAGGGACCTTTGATGCAAAACAACTTTGATAGTATTCAAATTTGTGGATTTCCTGGGAGCCGTGCCTTCATTGAGAGCTGTGATATTGTGGGTATTTCAAATTACGGATTCAGGATAAGTGATTGTGTTGGCCAGTTGAGCACAAACATCCCACAGGTATTTCTTTAAAGCAACAGATTCCTTTGTGATAAAAATTCTGTTGTTAAGTCTTTGACTGATGTGTTCTAATTTAAGATGAATCTTCAGGTAAAATATATTTTAGTCATGTATGTGAAAAGGGCTGTTGCATGCCCCTCATCACATATGAATGTATGCACATTAACTGTGTGAAAACACCTCTTAAATTGATAGTTTCACTTAAGATGGTTTTGCCAAACTGTTAATATGTATCTGAAAATGAATTACACTCATCCCTTGTTAAATGAGCCCTTTACTTCTGAATATTTGCTAAAATAAGTGATATTGTTCATATGCATACCTATTTTTGTTATAAAATTTAACTTCACCTGCTGTTATCAAGTGTGTAGACTGTTCTTCAATTTTATTTTTTGCTCCATTTGGCTGTTGTCGTCTTAACAGAAATTGTAAAGGTATAATACTATTTATGGTATAGAATAATATTTTGAATGCATAATTTGTAAAAATAGTATGGATTCACAAATTTTAACATTTTATATTGATTTCACCAGACGTCTTGATACTTTGTTAATTCTACAATTGTGAGTTTTATTCTGTCTTTGACTGTACAACTCACATAACATTTGATTAGTAAGGGTTTTTAATTTGTCATATTTATTATGTGTACTATAGAGATCTTGAAAATTGTATTTCTCCGCATAACTGCTTCGTAACACATTTAAACTTAAGAGATGGCATAGATTGCATAAAAAAGAAGTGTTGGTAAACTCTGCTTGTTGTAAAATATACTCAACACCTTATGGGGCCAGACAAATCAAATCCAAAAAGTACCTAAACTCATTTGGTTTATGTTAAGTTACGAGCACTTGGAAGAAGTCAGAGAATCGAGGGATGTGTACTTTTTTTCTATGTAAAAAGGACTTAATCCTAAAACTAAAATGGCCTGATGTCTATTCGGGTAACTATTTTTACATTAGATTCCCAGATTACTTACCTATTATACTATTGATACAAATGGGGAGTTACGGAAATGGACAAAAATATTGGTAACTGACCGTGCAGGTTAATCAATAAGTAAAATATCAGACTTGCCGAAAAGAGTCATAATTCAAGGACACTGGATTAAACAAATATTTATTAACAGTGACAATGCATGCAATACACACACCATAAACATACAACACACAGGTTACCCTTTGTACAAGTTTACAGCCAGGGCATTCCAGAGGCCTAACATTAACATCCTAACAACCCAGAAAACCCCCAGTGTTACCAAGTATTCAAACTCATAATGCCTATAAAAGCCAGAATGATCTTAAGTGGTCTTCTAAACTAAATAAAATACAACCTGCGGTTAAATCTCTCTGTAAACCCAGATGCCACCAGATGAATGGGAACCTATCTCCCTATTAAAAAAAAATGCACTCCCTTACCAGGAGAGGCCAATTTTAACCCAGGGATTCTTTACTCAGGAAATCAAAATTTCCTAAACAAACATGGAAAAGTAAGCTGTCTTGGCAAGGTTCAAATACATAACTCCAGTTGGCTCTTTATGAATGATCTGGATCTTGCCTGGCACACACTTTATGCTGTGTGTCCTCCTCTCTTCTCCTTTCTCATATTCTGTACTCCTCCCCTTTGTCTTTCTGTTTTTTATCATACACTTCTGACTCTATTTGTTTACCTAGAATTTAATTAACTAAGGTAAACCAGAAGATTCTTTTGATCAGTGTGTCTCACACCCAGCACAACTAACTCTAGGAGGTGGAAATGTTAACACAAACTAGGTGTTACCCATTGTATCTAAATTCTTAGAGTCACTATCGTAGTCACCTATATCTATAGTAGTCATCTGGTATCTATATACCAGTCCTATAAAATGACGTACAGACAGGTACAGGACCTGTAGGTATTGCTGTTCCAGTTGGATCTGGGAGAGCCTCAGCCTCAGTCTGTCCTTATTTCTCATGGCACCCTGCCAGCTGTGTCAATGCTTGATGAACCCTAATCACACTCATTTAATATATATTTAATAAATACTAACTGTTGTCAATGACGTGATGTGATGAGATTTGAGATTGTTCAAAGTTTTATGTAAAAGGTTTAACATACCTTTTAGATTTAAGGGGCATACAATATACTGTGCTTAACAGATATTGCACATATGAAAATTCTGCTATCTTGAGTTTTAACTTGCTTTAATTTTATGCTTTGTACTTTAAATACTTTTACAAAGAAACGAGCATAGAACTGCAGCAACCGCAGCTACTACAGTAAACATCTGTAAAAGCTGCAGCAGAGTATAAAAAGGAAAATATGTCCAATTACAGCGTAAACAAAGCATCCATACAGAAAGCAGCAAAAATTATTATGCAATAGAAATTAAATACAATGTCTCTTACTTCATGTGCTGGAGTAGAAATTCTTTACCTAACCTGAAATGGAGGTTGTTTCTCTGTAATCTATAGATAAGTCTATAATCTATATATAACTCTTGAAAAGAATAAGCACATGCGAAAGTGTAAGTGCCACAGGTTATGGAAATAGGAAAATGGAAACAGTGGAAATATTTCTATTTGTTTTTGTAGTGATAATACTTTGTAAGCCCAGGTATACTGATTCAGCCATTCAGAATACATGACAAAAAATATCTTTTTGGCAAGCTGGCTGTGCCATACTGTGGTATGATTTGATTTTGCCGAATTTAGGTTTTCACTGGCCAAAGAAGATCGAGTGAAACAGTAGCTTCAATTTATCTGTTGCACGACTTTTTAAATCAACTTAATATGGAATATTAATATGGAATCCTGTTACAAAAAGGACAGTTTGGTAGCTGAAAATGAAAATAACTGAAGTATAATAATGTTTCTCGATGTCATGAACAATATTAATTTATGAATATAAATATAATGTATTTATATATGTGGTAACAGTAACTGAAAATAAAATAAGGTACACAACAGTATTATGCCTTCTTCAACACTTTTCTTCAATTTCTTTTACTGAGTCGCTTGCTATGGAGTCAGTTGCTACCATGGAAAATGAAACGTTTGCTTGGTAATTATTAAAACTCTTGTAGAAAATGGAAAAGGCTACACTTTTTTAATTTAGCTCGTCAAGCACAGTGACGCATC